GGCCCCTTAGCACATGCGACTCCTGCCTTCCCAGGAAGGGAGGCCTCCCAGGCTCAGCCTCTGCCAGGTCCTCTTTGAAGCCCCCTGGACAGGCCTTCCCAGCGAGGGTGGGGCCTGTGGCCTCCTCAGGTTCATCACGCAAGCCCTTATCTCCAGGTCCAGCTGGGAACTTGATGTATTTATTTGCTTCTTCCAGGGCACCTCTGTCCAGCCCCTCAGCTCTGCCTGCATTGCAAGAAAGTGACCTTCCTGCAGATGGCTGCGTCAGGTGGGTGAAGAGGGGGTGGGGGGCTGCTATAAATCTGCTCCGCCTAGAGCCTGCAGGGAAACACAGACAGTCACGAGTCTTGGAGAGATGGGGGGGATGGCCGGGGACAGAGTCACCCTTCCTAAATGGACTGGAGCCAGGAGAGAGACAGACTCACACACACACACACACACACACACACACACACACACACACACACAGAGGGAGGGAAGGAGGAAGGGAAGGAGAAAGAGAAGTGGCAGATCAGAGAGAAGAAGGTAAGCGGAGGGAAGAGGAGGGGAGGGGATGGAGTGACTGGGTATATAAAGTCACCTTTGGACTGAGAATTAACCTTTCATCTTTGGCTAAGCTTAGTCCCAGGAGCCCTAGTGCCCTAGTGTGCTACACAGTAAACTGCTAACCAGAAGGCCAGGGCAGGCCCATCCAGATGGAAAAGCCTTGGAAACCCAGTTTGGGCAGTGAGGTTGATGCCCGGCACCTTGTGTCTGTGCACGTGACCTCATTTCATTCTCAGCAGCTGGGAGGTCAACCGAAAAGCCAGACTCACTGCCATCAAGTCCCTGCTGGCTCATGGCGACCCTCTAGGACAGGGGACACCTAACTGCCCCTGTGGGCAATTCCAAAACTGTAAACTCTGCATGGGAATAGAAAGCCCCATCTTTCTCTCAAGGAGTGGCTGGCGGTTTGGAACGGTTGACTCTCCCGATCGATCTGTATCATCATTATAGATCTGTATTATCCTTCCACGTTACATGTGAGATCACAGAGGCGAAGGAACTTGCCCAATGTCTCGTGGCAGAGCTGGGGTTTGAACCCAGGCCCCAGCCAAGATCATGTTCCACAAGGCACGACCCCCCACCTCCTCATGGGTGAATTTGATTTCCTGTAATATGGTGTCAGTCCCACGTGAGGCTCTACTTCTCGGTGGGCCCTGGGAGAGGCACCACCCAGATGCTCATGGACTCTCAGTCTTCACAGGGTCTCCATCACACTTGCTTGGCTGGCAAGGTTTTTGGAGAATGTCTGCGGTTAGCCAGTCATGTGCTTGCTTATTAGGTCTGGGATATTGATTATATTTGTAAACAGACTTCAGCATTGTCCAGGCAACTGGTCTCTTAGCAAATTCCTGTGTGCTGGCTTTGAGGATGTCCCCGGAGCCGGAGAGGAAGACGTTCCCCCCTCCCCCTCACTCATCTGCAAATGATGGAACCTTCCAGACTTTTTGTTTTAGGGGAGAGGATTGGTGGTTGAAATTCTAAGCCGTTTTCAACCCAATCCTCTTCGAGATCTACTTCAACTAGCCCCGCCCCCCCCCCCAAAGGTCTGGAACTGACACCTGGGTTCAGAGGCCAACATCGATGAGGGGCTGACCCCTGGTTCTTCCAGGCCCAGCCCCCTCCTGTGGCTGGGCCCGGGACCAAGGCTGATCCAGGGAGCAAGTCCTCAGAGACTGCACCCATTCCCTTCCATTCCCTTCCAGCTGGTCTCCCTCATTCTCACCTGGCAACTGAGCCACACTGAAAGGTCAACCAGCTGATTCCAGCTCATGGTGACCCCATGTGTGCTCTGTAGGATTTTTAATGGCCATTATTTTTTAGTAGGTGGCCAGGCCTTGCTTCTGAGGTGCCTCTGAGAAGACATGAGCTACCATGTATGCCCCATAACACCCCTTTCCCCTTGCCGTGCAGCTGGGGAGAGGGACTTAGCCTACCTCCGTCTCAGCCCATAGGGAATGAAGACGGGGAGCTAGACAGCCTGAGATAGTGTGATAATTTTAAGACCCTGCAAAGTATCTAAGTCTACAAAGTATCTAAGTCTACAAAGTATCTAAGTCTACAAAGTGTCTAAGTCTACAAAGTATCTGTTCAAGGAACTCCCAGGTGGTATGATTTTGTACGTAGACAAACCCAAGGAATCTACAGCGTTCACACAGGAGATAGTAGAAGTTTCCCCTAGGAGAACGATTAGGAGAGACAATGGCTGAACACTGGCTCCTTCCGTTGCTGGGTGTAGCTGCGGTGGAATCAGCCCCTGACCTCCTGACTCACGGTGACCCCAGGCATGCAATGAAAGGCTGCCTGCTTTTGTTCCATTTGCTGATGAATTTGGACACGTCAGAAGAGGCCAGTCCCTGCAGGCCTGGACTTCTGACCTCACCTGGACTTCACCTCGAACCTTAACCTTGCTTCTAACCATGCCTCATGCTTACCCTCACCCATAACCTTCACCAGCATGCTACCCAGTAGTGCTCCAAATTGGCTCACTCCTTCTCGCAAGCTGTGCTATACATACTGTGGCCCTACTGAACTCAGAGTTACTTAACTCTTGTCTTTCAGTTGGTCCTTAAAGCATCCCACTTTAGCGTCTTCCTGAGCAACTCCATATAAGACATCAGATCACTGGTGGCGTAGTGGTTATGCCTTGGGCTGTTACACAGAAGATCAGCAGTTTGAAACCACCAGCCGCTCTGTGAGAGAAAGATGAGGCTTTCTACTCCCATGAAGAGTGACAGTCTTGGGAACCCACAGGGACAGTTCTACCCTGTCCTATAGGATGACTATCATTCAGAAATGGCTTAATGGCGGTGAGTTTGATTTGGGATATATAAGCATAAAGTATTGCTATGTTTTTCCTAATAGATATTACCATAAGCCCAAACCACTTAACATGTTCCTGATGGTTCTCCACGCACCTTGTATCCCTCTCACCATGGAGAGTTGGCATGGACTGAGCTACCTGAGCCGAAACCTGCCTTCCCCACCCACTTTGCAGAGCAGACTGGAACCACCAAGTCCGGTGGGGCTGCAGTGCCCTCTGCTGGTCAGACGAGGGCGGCGTCCTGCTCCGACCTGCTCTTCCCTGGCTTGTGTTCACCGACTGTGGACCTGGCTGAGGGGTGGAGGGAGAGGAGGAAGGTCCTTCTTCTTCCACCTAGGGTGTGGGTGGAGACAAGCCCGAGGTCAGAGGAGGAGATGGGATCAAGAGATGGCCTGGGCCTGCTGGGAGGTGTACAGTGAAGTTAGGGTTGGGGTGAGGACTCAGAGAGTCCGGCCAGCAAACAGCCAGGTAGCCGCAGTGTTGTGCAGGTGGATATAAGAGCAAGGGGAGGGTTAGGGTTGTCAGATTTTTCAGGGTGACTGTTCTGGTGTGTGAGTTAGCTCTTAAGCCTGGAACAGGGCAGGGCTGGGCAGCCAGCTGCCTCAGGAAGACTGTTCTCCAGGTTGAAGTGGCTGAAGTCTCCCATCTGGGTGTGGTAGGACCAGAGCACCCCCTGTCCCCCAGGGCTCCCTCAAGCACCAGAACCACCCCTGGGTTACATGCTCTATGAGGTCCCCCTCCTTCCCTCCCCGCCCCCCCCCAAGTTCTTGTTCGTTAATCTCTCTGAAGACAAACCCTCACGCGGTTTTCTGATCGGTTTATTTTTCTAGAACAACACGGTCCTCTAGATGGTCTATGAAATAATCTCGTACATTCGGATCCTCCTTTATATATTCAAAAGGTATCTTCACATGTTTTCTCATTGGTTTCGCACGAATGTCCTGTAACAGAACCACCCACCCGTTTTACAGAAGGGAAGTCTGAGGCTCAGGCAGGTCCACACACCGGATTAGGGCAGGACACGAAGTGGGGATCGAAACTCAGCATCCTAACTTGTATCCCAGTAAGCTCTTGGTTCATGCACCGATCTCTACACCTGAGAGATAGTTCCAAATGGGGCACAGGTGACATTTCAGCCAAAAGGCTGAGTTGAGAGACTAAAGCTCCGAAGTTGTCGGTGCTGAGCCTCCACGCCCAACTGCACCCTAAGGGGATCATATCACAAGGTCTGGGAAGAATGAAGACAAATGTGCTGCCAACTTGATTGTCAAAGAAGACCGGGCATACTGGTCAGATAGAGACGGGGGTGGGAGTGGCTCGAGACGATGGCTTTTCATACCTGATAAGCCTGGAACTGACACACTCCAATGGCCCCATTTTTAGCCAAACAACAGAAAAGAGAGGTGGAAAGGGCAAACAGGACCACGAGGGAGGCAGGCGCACCTCAGAATGCCCAACCCTGTGTGATCAAAAGGGTAGTAGGTGCCTAAGGGCAAAGTCCAGGTTGAGAGGAGAGCTTGAAACATGAAGCGCAGGGAGGAGGCGGGAGTGTGGGGAGGGGTGTCTGTGTGTGAGAGAGAGATGGTGCATTGTGGGGACCGCAGTCAGCGGCACAAAACAGCACATGGATACCCGGTTCTGCAAGCCTCCACCAGGATCAAGTCTTAAAACACACCCAGACAGGTAGCTGGGTGAAGGACAGGGCCACTGACCCAATCAGACCACTGGGCTGCTCACCAGGCTGGGGGCTGCGGGCACTCATTTGGGTCGGCACGTCAGAACCAGCTATGACAGGCTACTGGGTACAGTGACCATGAAGACAGCAGCGTGTTAATTACACATTGCTGACATTCCCCTCTTTTAAAGGGGTTCCCTCCTGAGGCTCAGAGACCGAGAGGGTAGACAGGTACCCAGCAGGGCAGTGGGGAGGTTCCTGCAGACCCTTCCTCTCTCTCTCTCAGAGATTCTTGACATTGGTGGGTCCCCACTTCTGGAAGCAGCACCCCCATACACACACACTCCCTGTCTGCCAGGGGGTCCACATCTATGAGGCCCTTGGCACTGGGTGCTCTCAGCTCTACCAAGTCTTGAAAGACTCCCACAAGGAACTGCTGAGCTGGGGGCAGGGGTGCTGGGGGTGGGGGGCTTCACCCTCCTAACAAGAGGTTTCTTTCTGGCTCCCCCAAGGTGGGCCCTACAGTCTGGACTGGAGCAGCAGGCTTGAAGTCATGTCTTTATTAAAGGCTGTGGTCGTGGACAGGGCAAGCCCACCCTTTGCTATAAAAACTGTGATCAGCTGAACCTGGAATTAGCAAGTGCCAGGAGGGCAGTTGGAGCTGGGACGCTGGCAGCACTCCTCGGGCTGGCTGGGGCCAGGCTGAGGTGAGGAGGGTGTGGGCAATGGCTGTGGCCCGTGCAGCTGCTAAGTGGCCTGCCATAGCCATGTTATGGTCCCCTCCTCCCATTAACGGGCTTCCCTCGGAGCTGGGAGTCAGCACCTGCCGGAAACATCTAGCCTGAGTTCTCAGTTCTCACGACGCCCCTGTGTCAGAGTGCAGCTATGCGCCACAGGGGTTTCAAAGGCTGAATTTTATTTTTGCCTTTCCCGGGAGGAGCCCCACAGGCACAGTGGTTGACTGCAAGGCTAGCGGTTTGAAACCAGCAGCTGCTTCTCCAGAGGAAGGGGTGTGGTCGCTCTACTCCCATAAGAAAGCTACCATCTCAGACACCCACAGGGGGCAGTTCTACCCTGTCCTATAGGGTCACCCATGATTCGGATGGCCTCGTGGGCAGTGGGTTTGGTCTGGCTTTCATGTGAGGTGACTCTGGATGTCCTTAAACCTATCACCCTTGGGTTGACCGTCGAACAAGGTTACCGAGTGGGATTCCAGGGCTGTGGAGTCAGCTCAGTGGTGCGTGGGGACTAGGTGTGTAAGGGCCGGGGCATTCCCCTTTCAGTAGCAAGCTCCTATATGACCCCTGATTGGATCTTCAGAGCACCCATGGGTGGGGGCTGGGGTGCCATTCCTCGGACTTTACACAGACGTGGGAGCATTCCAGGAGCAGGCAGCCTGGAAGAGGACCAGGAAGAGGAGGCACGGGCACTTAGCTGCCGACCTGTGACCTGGCCACGTTGCTTAGCCTCAGTGGCCTAGGAATGGGAGGGAGGGACTGTGCAAGACAAGTGAGAGCAACTTCTGGTCCACCACCTCAGAAGCCTGCTGTCCACTCCTCGGATGACTGGATGGCCTGATGGGGACACGGCCCTTTCCTAGACCGCACAGAGCTGGGCGGGCCAGAGTGTCCACTCTCAGCACCGCTTCCCCCATGGAAAGGCCGCTTTTGAGGCCCTGGCTGACACACCTCAGTGGGCCCCAGAATCACCTGGAGAATCTGGTCCAATTCCAGGGTGTCCCGCGCACTAAGGTTCTGACCCAGAGGGACCGAGTCGGATGGAGCCAGGATTCTGTACCTCTAATGGCCCTGCTGATTGCTTTGTTATACCTTGCTCTGGGTGGGGGGGAGACCTAGGCCACAGGGCAAGGCAGGAGAGTGGGTGGTGCTGAGAGGGGTCTGCTGGCTGCATGGCTGGGAGGGAGGCCACGTAGCTGGGGGAGGGGAGGGGAGCGGCATGGCACAAGGAGTAGCAGCATCTGTCTCTGTAGATCTGAGGCCCCAGTGGGCTGACCAAGCTCCCAGAGGGAGGCTGACAGAGGCCAAGCCCCTGGGCAGTCAGGCCGGGACTGCTTGGCATGAAAGGCACTTTGGGTTCCTAGAAGGGGGTGCTGGTGTCCATGGGAGAAGTCAGCGGGCTCTCTCTGAGCAGGTGGCAGGGAGTCAGAGAGGAAATGCACCCCTGAGGGGCAGGTGGAGAAGCTGGGATAGGACAGAGGCCACTGAGAGACCCTGCGCCACGGTCTCTCTGCTCAGATGTCCCTGGTCCAGCTCTCGGCTAAGGGCCAGTGTGGTCAGGTTCTGCCGAGCAGGTCCTGGAGAAGGGGGATTGGTCCTAAGCCACGGGACAACCAAGTGTGAGGGCCTGGGCTGCTGCAAGAGGGGAGCCTGGCTCAGGGACCCCACCTCCCAGAGATCTCAAGCCAGTCACCGGCTCCTCTCAGCAATGCGGGGAGACCCTTGCTGGCAAGCTGTGCTTGGGGGGCAGGGCAGGGAGCCCCTCTTCTTGTGCCAACAGGCCAGCGAAGTAGGCGTGCAGAGGCTGCAGTTGGAAGGCAGGCGGGGCCGGCAGCAGCGTGGACGTGGCCTGCAGGCTCAGGTAGCGGCTGTACTTCTGCAAGCCCTTCTGCGGGTCCTGGCGGTGGGTGGCCAGCAGATCCTGGAAGCCGACACTGTGCAGAGCCAGCAAGCGGGCGCTGGCCCTGGGCAGGACGGCGACGCGCACCAGGGGCTGCAGGGAGGCGAAGCACTGCAGGCTGCTGACCGAGTAGATGTGCCGGACCAGCGGGAGGCCCGGGTGGACATCGAAGAGGCGGCACAGGTCTCGCATGACGAGCACGGTGGCCAGGGCACTGCGCTCGTTCATATTCCTCACCAGGTAGGTCCTGGCCAGCTTCCTCAGTTTGAAGCTGCTGGCCTCGGGCATCCGCTCCTGGAGCAGTGGCCGGATGTCCAGGAAGCCTGAGATGGCCCTCCGGAACTCACACAGGCTGTTCATGTCCTCCAGGGCCCGGAAGAAGTTGGGGAGGGCCGGTGCCCACAGCTGATAGCAGGCCAGGATGGGGCGGCGCATGCAGCCTAGGAAGCGGAGGAAGTGGGCAAGGCCCACCTCCAGGGACACGGCCTTGGAGTAGACGCTGAAGACGGCCTCTGGCTCGATCAGCACGCGGAACTTGCTCTCCTGGTGCACGGCTGCCAGTTGGCTAATCTTCTGGGCTGGGCAGAAGAAAGGGGCAGGTCAGGCACCAGGCCAGGGGATGCTGGCGGGGTGGCAGACAACCCTGTATGGCAGCCAACTCCCCTCCAGGCGGTCCAGCTCTGACCCTGGCTCTGGTGGGCTCAGGGCTCAGAGGGGGAGGCTGGGCTGCCCTCTGGAGACCCCTGGCTCACTGGCTTGGGGTCCAGCTCCTTCCATGCCCCTTCCCATCACCAAGCTTTTTTGGGGTCTCTCAAGTTAGCCTCTACCTCCTGACCTAGGAGACCCCTGGCCTCCAGTCCCTTAAGTCATTTAGTCAAACACTGCTCAGCTCAGTAAGAGTCCTGGGACATGGACCCCCACCCCCACCCCCACACACCACCCCTGGCTGACTCCCTTCACAGTGAAGTCCATGGCTTGCACCTGTGGTTTGCCGTGGGCACAGCCAGGGGCGGCAGAAGGCCAGGAGCAAACAGTCTGCAGGGTGGGCACTGTGGCCTCCCTCTGGAGCCCTTGGTAGGACCCGCCTGGGCTCAAAGTGCACCCTGGGGTGCTGGTCCAAGTGTGTAAGGGCAGAGCTGTCCCCCACTCCCAGGCCCGGGTCAAGACAGAAGTCCTCATTGACAGACAGCCACGAGGCACCTGGCCTCTCACACAGCTCCTTTCCTGAGAATGGTGGCCCTGGGCAGGACAGAGGCTTCCTGCCCTCGGCTGTGCACCAGAAGGCACCTCAGCAGAATGGCCGGGTGGAAAGGCAGTCACTGGAAAGCCTATGGGGCCCAGCTCTACACTCACATGGGCAAGGGGAGAGTTGGCATCGGCTCAATGGCATGGGGTGGTCAGTGGTGGGATGGAGACTGTGTTGGGGGGGTTGGGGATCCATAGGAGAACCTACTTTCCTGGTCAAATTTGAGGTCGAAGAAAACCAGGGGGCTGTCGTCTGCTGGGGAGTCGGAGAGGGTCTCATCCCGGGTGCTGAGGGAGCTGGGGTCTTCCAGCTGCAGGTCACTGGACTCGCTGCTGCTGTCGGTCAGCTCTCCGGAGGGCTGCAACAGGGGAAAGTAGCAGGTCAGGGGCTGTGGGGGGACACGAGGGAGGGAGTGTCGCTGGGCAGGGTGTGTGTACACACAGGTGAGGATGCAGCACCAGGGAGACGGTGGGCACACGGGCATGAATGTGTGTCCGAGAGTCACGTGTGTGAGCCAGCAGCTGTATCAGCAAGTGCGAGGGTGTGAGAGGATGGGGCTGAATGTGTGGAAGCTGGTGTGAACGAATGGTGTGTGTGTATGCTCACACCTGTGAGGGTGTATGTGTGGGCACTTATGTGGGTGAGGGGGTGCCTGGTGAGACATCCTGGGCGGATCCCGAGGTCCTGGAGGAACGCCCAGGCACATGGGACGGGGATGAAGGCATCTGTCTTGAACTTCAGCTGCTTCTCTGTAAGGTCCCAGGAGCCAACAGAGGCCCTGTGGTTTTGCACCAAGGGGACAGGCAGGGCTGCTTGCCCCCCACCCCCCAACTAAACATTACACCAGAGCAGACTGCTCCCTGGCAGTGGGAGAGCAGCAGAGGGAGAAGCCGCCAAGCCCCTGAGCCTGGAGAGGAGCCTGTGCCCTCCCTCTCGTAACATCCACGTCTGAGAGAAATCTCTGAGTCCTGCACTCCATCAGGCTCCATCCTCCCCAGCCCCTAGGCCCTGCAGAAACCCAGAAGGGCTGGAGAGGAGGACAAGGAGGACCACGGAGATGGGTCTCTGGGTCTCCTGGGAAGCTGGGAGCTGGGGTGCAGGACTGAGCCTCTGGTGCTAAGTGTTACCTGCTCATTGCCTCACTGCTGCCACGCCTGCATGTCCAGGCTGCCTACAAGTCCAGGCTGCCTACAAGTCCAGGCTGCGGTAGCCAGCTCAGAGCCGCCCTGCGGATCCACTGGTGGGCACTAGCTAGAATCCAGGACGGAGGGACCTTGATCCAGGGCTGGTGGTGACACTGGAGGGACAGTCTGAATCGCCTCTGGCTTGCTGATGGAATTGGCGCCACCTGGGTGTATTTGCAGCCTCCGCCAACTGAGGATCTGGATGCAGTCTGTCTGTTCCTGCCATCCCCTCCCTCCCCCCCACCCCCCCCAACGTCTGGGGGAAACTTTGGTTTTCAATAAAACGGCGGACTAGAGAACAGTCATGAAGATGGCGTGGGGTTTCTGAATACTGTCCGATGCTCACTCTCTTTGTCTTCCAAAGCCCTGCCGGGCTCACCCGCTTCCTCCCAGTCATTGATAGGGACAGCCTTCTCTAAGTCTGCCCACAGACGAGTATCCACACTTCAAGACAAAATTTCATTTATTCGTCATTAGAAATAAATAGCTCACAATATAGAACGACATGTTGCTTTGTGATGAATCACTATGCTTTCATCATGTTCAATTTGTCACCATGCAAATACATCCTGCATATTCGATAGTTACATGACAATTCATCACAGTAGCAAAATGACAGTGATGAAGTAGCAACGAAAATAATGTTATGGTTGGGGGGGGTCACCACCACATGAGGAACTGTTTGAAAGGGTCTCAGCATTAGGAAGGTTGGGGACCACTGGTCTAGATGTTTTCTGGGCGCAGCCGCACTGCTGGTTACAGAGCAGTGGTCCTCAGACTCTGGTTGGTGGCGGGATGGGCTCCCTCATCCTGCGCTCTCAAGGGCCTCAGCTCTCCTACCAGTGGCTCACCAGCGGTCCCCTTGGCCTGGTCCTCCATACCGCCTATTGGCCTTGTGCTCCGAGTCTCCTCTTCTCCATCCTTTTTGCTCCGAGGAGAAGTGAAAATGCCTGTGTTAGTCCAGACAGACTAGAGAAACAAATCCAGGGAGGCTCATATGTGTTTAAGGAAGAACTTTATATCAAAGAGCAATTGTATATTAAGTAAACATCCCAGCCCAGTCCAGATCAAGTCCATAAGTCTGACATGAGCTCATAGACCTGAGACTAGTCCATAAATTCATCTTCAGACTCATGCAACACATGCAATGATGCAGAATTCAGGAAGATCACAGGCCAGTGGGTGGAAACTCTTGTGGCTCTAGTGGCGGGGGACGCATCTCAGCACTGGTGTGGGTCTCCACGTGGATCCTCCAGCTCTGGGGCTTTGGTTCCATCAGCATAGCTCCATGTGTCTTGTCAACAGGAAGACCAAGCAGAGAGAATGTATCTGGTCTCCAGTGAGCTATTGATCTCCATGGAGCCTCCAAATGAGGTCATCAAGCTGTGGCCTGATTGACAGGCTAGACTCCACCCCTTCGTGAGTTGACAGATTACGTAATTGCCACAATGCCTCTTAGTGCTTCCTCCAGTCTCCTTCTATTTGCAACGTCGGATCTTGGGAGGTTCCTTCAAGACTTAGAACCAAGGCTGGAGACGCCTACTTCTCCCCTTGCCTCACCAGGGGTGCTGATCCCAACACCGGCGATTCAAACCCACTAGCTGCTGCTCCACGGGGAAAAAGTTGAGGTTATCTGTCCCCACAAAGATTTGCAGCCTCGGAAACCCTATCCAGCATCGCAATGAGTCAGCAAGAACTTGATGGGAGTGGGGTGCCTTGGGGGGCAGTTATGCCCAGGCTACACTCAGGAAGGCACGGCTGTGCCTGCAGCCAGGGGGCAAGTGTCTGTCGTAATGACTGGCTGCTTCCATGCTTGGTCCTGGGTTCACTGAAATCAGGATGGGCACGGACAGCCTTGGGTCACCTAGTCTCTGGCAGCCATGCTTATCAAGAGCGCCCCAGGCCTGAACCAACCTTTTCCTTCATCCCAGTTTCAGCCACAGAGGGGATCCATTTAGCAAACCACACATGAGGCTGTTTATCGCAAACAGGAAACACCAGCTCTGGCAAGGTCTGGAAGGCCCTGAAGACGGCACGTGGGAGTCGGTGAACCGATCACCTGTGGTTAGCTCTCCTGTAGCCTCCTGCTCTTGCCCGACAGCTCCCCGCCTCTCTGGGGTGGGTACCTGGCAGTACCACGCTCCCCTTCCCTGCATCAGCTGCTCCCCACAGGCCTCCTTCTGCCGCACGTGACCATGTTGACCAGGCCCTCCGGCCTCCGCTTGGTCCTCATGCTGCTGCTGAGGGGCTAGCTAGCGCCAGTCCCTGGAGCTGAGTCTGTGAGAACACCTCTCTTCTCTGATTGGATCCTAAGACACGAGCCCCACGGCAGAGATGTGGCTGACCCTCCTTTGCAATCTGTAAGCATAGCTCTCGCCCAGCGGCCTCCACCCGGGGCCAGGAGCTCGCCCATTGATCCCTGATATTGGCTCCCCCTGCAGCTCCCCAACCCTTCCGACTCAGGGGAGGCTGCTCATAGAAAGCGCCTCCTCGCTCTAGCAGCCTCCAGACCCCGAAGGCTCCGCCTGAGCGCCCAGCTACAGACTGCCAGGGCCCAGCAGGGAGCCCCTGCCGCAGCCTGACCCCCAGAAGGTGTCAGTCTCTTAGGGGGCTGGTGCTTTCCAACGTCCACTTGCTGAGGGGTTGGGCAAAGGCAACTGGCCTGACAGGGAGAGGACATGGGAATCACCCTAAAGCAAAGGCTAAGGGCTCGCAGTGGGGTGCTGCAGGTGTTCTGGGGTCCCTGCAGGCCTAGAGGATGGAGAATGCTGGAAAACCAAATGAAGCCACCTCTGGCCTTCCCGTGGAGTCTGCCCTCCACCCCCGGCGACCGAGTGGTCTAGCGCAGGCCCGCTCCTCGGCCCTGTTTCTGGCCGCCATCTTCACAGACGGCAGTGGCTAGGCCGTTCTGTTCTCTCTTGGTAGTTGCTGGGGGCTGAGAGAAAGACTGGACCCTAAATCTGTGGCCCCAAAGTGTGGGCTTCCTGCAATGGCTAGGTCTTTTAAAAGGTGCATCCAGAAGGGTGCCGTTCCCAGGCACGCTCACACCTCCAGACTGCCCTCCTCCCAGCCGTTAGTCCCTCCGCAACCCGGAACATCCTAGGAACCTCTGGGTCAACTTCAGACCTCATCTACCACGTTCTGTGGAAGCCGCTCAAGGATGAGGATCAGCGGCGCTTGCCACCTCCTCTGCCTACCGGATACTGCCGGCCTCAGTTTCCCAGCCTGACCCTCCGTGCTGCAACCAAGTCCCTTTCTCCATCTCTGCTTCCCTGGCCTCCATCTCCACTTACAGCTACAGCGTGACGTTAGGGAGACTCTGGGATGAATCCCAGAGTCCAG